AATATAATGGAATTTGATGCGACTGTCATACAAGTGAGAGGTTTAGCTAGCTTTCAAACCAGGTTTAATCCATAGAAAATGAAAGGATATGGAGTAAATGTACATGGGATAAAATCGCACACAATACATAGAAAATTATCAATGAACAGGGCTTTTATTCCTGTTCTTCATCTTGACAGTTGATGTAGGGTCTTCAACAGTGAACGAATCATTCATACCCTACAACAAGGTCAAGACGGCCCCTAGCGTCGACTTAAGCGATACCACCATTTTCTACATAAGAAAATGCCTGTACCAAGTCAGGAATATCACAGTTGTTATCCATTCGTTTGATGTGTTTGAGCTTTTGATTTTGCCATTTGATTAGGGACTTTCCTTTTTAATTTTCCTCGGAGTTCAGTATTTTTGTGATTTTACTTTTCCAAGTGGTTGCTCGAGTGCTACTGATGAGTCTTGCAAACACGAATATTTTTACTAGCGTACTAAATACGTCTGGTATCTGTGACGATTTTTAAGTCTTTGGTCACTGCACTATCTGTGAAAGTTTCAATCAACTAAACTTAAATTTCTTAAAAAATGACAGTATTTATATGATTTCTACTTCGATGTGTTAAACATTATAATCAATGCGGATTCACCAAAGTAGGATTTCCATTGCTTTAGAACAAAAACACTGCATCGGCCTTTAACTTTATTAAAGAAGAGAAGTGTCTTCTGAATTGAGATTACAAACATGTCTTTATACGACATTTAATGAACAATTGCACTGTTGTGGCATAAAATTGACGTCAAATAGAAAGAAAAAAAAATGCTTGGTTTAAGCAAAAAACTCAACTATATTGGCTTTATTAACATATAGATCAAACAACTTCATATATGTAATTTGCAAGCAAATATTTCACTACAGATACTCTTTAGTTGATTATCTTTTGGCAAAACATCTGTGCTTTATATTCTATATGTTTAGGAAAAACTCATTTATGTAATTTCGACATTATTGTTGACTTAACTATAATTTTATGGTAGTATAATCCTTGGAAATAAAACTGTCTTTAACTCCTCCCCCTCCCCCAACACACCCAATTAAAAAAAAAAGAGTAAACATACTAATATATACATGTTAAAAAAGATATATACATATTAAAACAAAAACTTGAAATGATCAGACATACCTTTTTCTATACACAAGATGTTTTCAAATTATCAATTTTCAACAGAATTGTAACCAATAGTGATTATCTAAGAGTACTGTTTTCTGACTTTATATTGTTTTTAATTCTAATATGACGACCTTTATATCGTCAACCAGTAAAGTCACAGTATATCTACTTTTAGCACAAACGCATTAATACACAAAATTGGCTGTTCCGCGTTACGCCCACTTTATTTATACGACCACGTGAACTTAATTTGCGACATGTTTTATGTCAAGCTTCAAATACAATACAGTTATATCTATTCTAATGCAAAATAAAAAAATCAGCTCATTTCAGTTCTTATTTCGGTGTATAAATAAAGGCAACAGTAGTATACCGCTGTTCGAAATTCATAAATCGATTGAGAAAAAAACAAATCCGGGTTACAAACTAAAACTGAGGGAAACACATCAAATATAAGAGGAGAACTACGACACAACAGAAACACAACAATAAAATGTAACGAACTATAATATAACAATGGCCATTTTCCTGACTCGGTACAGGACATTTTAAGAAAAAAATGGTGGGTTGAACCTGGTTTTGTGGCTAGCCAAACCTCCCGCTTTTATTGTAATGTTAAATATAACATTAAAATGACAACATTATATGACAGGACTATAATACAAATAAATGGGAGAACATATAGGACAGAGATACATACATATAAGTTCATAAAAAGAAAATACCGCGAAATGATGTTATCGTCTTTGACAACTAAACAAGTTGACGTCATATGTATGCTTCCGCCGTCAAATATAAACAACATAAATATGTTATGTGAAGGCTAGCTAGTATATAAAAGTATTTAGCCCTGATAGTTATGTCACATTTCTATTGGCTGTTTGATGCCTATTTCCTGTAGACGGCTTTTTAAGAAATGCAATTTGCTCTTGATCAATATGTTATTAGAACTGCACTTTTAAATAGCCGTACTACTTTGAATTCACAGTAAGATAATTCGTAGATTTCAACTTGCAGGCTAAAACAAAATGAGAAGATTTGTAAAAAAGTCTATTACATTTTGTGGCAAGCCGTCGTCCAATTACCCGCTGAGCATTTTGGACAACCTTGTTGTTGTCTTCTATTTCACTCTGTTTATAAATTTGAACGAAGATGCAACTTTTTTCAAGATCAAATCTTTCTATCGTCCTCTTGATCTCTCCACTTCCAGCAACGTGTATATATGATAGTTCAATAATATCAGCTGGAATATAGGCTTTTGGTTCTACAGCTATCGCGACGTGTGGAAGAGAACAATATCTAAATTCTATAATATCTCCTCTGTGAACTTCTTTTAACGTCTTCACGAGGCGCCTTGTGTGGCAGGCATTAACGTTCGGTAAAACCTAAAAAATAAAGTCTGCTGTCAAATATCACATAGAATTCTTTTTGATATTTAAAACAGTAATTAGTTAGGATAACACACACGTTATCTCCTACAATTCTAACACTGCGAGGTTGTTGTTACACCAGAATAAGAAAGCTTAATAGATCTATGAGCACTCAAGCTTCACCCCTTCTTAGATCCAACGCTAAACATGTATCTCGATGACAAATATGTTGTTTCCCCCTATACAAAGCCTGGACATTATTGTGTTTGTTTGTAAATCACATTATATAAACTGCTATATATGGGGATTTAGTTTTACATTTCACTTAGAAACCTAACATATACCTCTACAAGATTAGTTAAAGAGGGAATCATGAACACTAATATTAATGTTTTCTGTTCCTCAACCAAAGATGGAGAACGAGACATTCTTTTATTGTAGTGCATACCCGAATAGCATAAGTATCTTTTCAAACAACGTTATATTACTGGGCCTGCCAAAATGCTTCATTAAATATTCTTAGTTATGAACTTTATTTTATCATAAATGTACTCAGTTTCGCTCCTTTTTTGTTTGTTGCCTTGATTTGTCTTCTTTATCGATTAAGGATATCTTAACAACGGTAAACAAAAGATCACTGTTGCCTTAATTGATCAAGAATCAAGAATCAAATCGAGTTTAAGAATTACTATGACACCACCTACTCTAGTTATTTAAGCCCCTCTTTCTGTGCAATACTATACAAAAACATTTGACTAAACTACCTTTTACAAAACAATTCATCATTTTTGACTAACAAAAGTAAAGGAAAAGAAATGCAAACATAGAAATAAATATATTGTTTCAGGTATAGAAGTTGCCCGAGCAGGAAGAACATACAAGAAAGTAGTACATAGTTTAAAGAAAATAGTTCCTACGCATATCTGTAACTTTGTCAATAAGTAACATATTTAGGTAATTTAAATATCAAATGAAATCTTAAGGATTTGGGATCACTGTAGAACCCATGTTAAAAGTTTCATTTGAATAATAAAAAAATGTATGAAATTAAGATAGGAGGGCATATTTGCCCTGTTACTCAGATCAGAAGTACATGTTTTTGTAATATCCAACTTCCGGAAACCAGTGTGCTCTAATATGCAATTATAGGTATGTTGATTTTTCAGCACACATCAGGATAAGGTATAGTTTTGACATGAAATGATTGTCACCTTATTTGAACTTATGACGAAATAGCTATGAATGCTTGAAATTGCAGAATTTAACATAGAAAGCATGGGGCTATGAATTAGTGGTGTTATTCCTTAAGGACAAATCAATATGCCTGATATTTTATTAATAGCATTTGTGTTACGTTTGGAGAACATCTCTTTTGACATACTACTAGCACTTATAGTACTCGGGGTAGAAAATTCGTGCTCGAAACAACAAATCCATTATTTCGAATGATTGATTTCCGAGTCTGAGTACGATAACTTTATCCCCGGGTTTGGTGTTTTTTGTTGCTCAATCCTTAGTTTTTCTGTGTATTTTCTTATTGACGATTGTTTGTATTTTGTCATTTGTGTTTGGTGATGTTGTTGGTCGAATTTCTATGACTTATTGTCTTTTATTGCCTCTTTGGTATTTTCCCCCTTTGTATTTGTTTTTTTTCAATTTGGATGTATATGTCTTTCAATAATGTAAGTTCAAAATTAATGTAAATATCATAATTTTCCATGTAATAAAAATGAAGGCCACTACTGACACGTTAAGGTCTATATCATACCTAAGCTTACGAATAACATACAATACACATTGTATAAAGGTATCAAACATCTATATTGCGCAAATCAAAATACATCGAAAGACGTTTGGATATAAAACTCATAACGAATGAAATAATTATCATTTGCAAGAGGGGATTTTTTCCTTATTGCGAGGGAAAATACCTACATCACTTGTGTTTGTTGTTAAAATATCATAGTTGGTGCGCTTTCAATTGCTTGAGCATATTTAGGATAAATTGTTAAAATTCGAGTTTTGCAGTCGATATCACGAGTTTGTTTGCTAAATATCCTTGTCAGTGTGTTGCACTCGACCGATGACATGTTTCTATAATTTACGACATTAAGTTGATTTTGATTATTAACAGATTTGACTCCTTATAGGCCATTCACCATATGGCAATACAAAATTTGTCCAATGCTTAATATGGTGTTGTAACTATTTCGGGGCACCTAGTTCAACTTTTTATAGGATTTTGTATTTTTCAAAGTTTGAGTTCAAATAGTCATTGTTTTGTTTGTTATGTTGTGTTCCCAAATACATGTCTCGTTTTCTAAGTCTTCTCATTGCCTTTGATTTAGATTGTTTGTAAATTGTCCTCTGCATTTATATTCCTGTTCAACATACACTTGTAATGTTTATCTTCTACCTTAAGTTATTTTACAATTCTTTTGAAATTTGATTAGTAATACTATACTATTACCTTACAATCCCATGCCAAATGACTTGATCTGCGATTAAACATATTAAATTTCTGCTCTCCAATCTTTTTCATCGCTCTTACAACTACGGTATCAGAAGAAAATGTCTTTTCATCAGGGAAATCATAGACGAATAATTGCTCTGTATTGAGGTTGATATTGACTGTTTCACTTCGAACTGTTCGCGTACCAAACATACCACAGAATGCATAATGGACGATACCGATGCTTTCTATATTCAATCTTTCTTGTCTATTTAGTAGTTGTACTTTTTCAACTACAACATCATGACAAGTTATGCCTTTATATACAGTCAAGATATCACCAGGCTGTATGTCACTCATTGAATGCACAATCATTTTTGGAATAACAGAAGTTGGGTTAATCTTAGCTTTTATCTTTGTAATAAGTTTTTCACAAGCCCACGGTATCACAACAAGAGCGATAATACCAATTCCAATAACAGGAATAGTGTATTTTAATGTTGGCATAATTAAAACAATAGACACTGTAAATCCTACAACTAACTTAGCTAGAATCTTTATTCTTTTTTTACTGAAGCAAGGTAAACAGATCAGGCGCCTTTTTAATTGATCATTCAGTTGTTTCAATCTTCGTATCAACAGAATACATTCGACAATGGCACATATTATTGGACAACAAACGCTTGCTCCCAGAGTACCTGCAGCTACCCGCACGAATTGCACATTAGTGGCAGAGGCTATATCTTTTGAAACTGAAGTTAAATGAGGAATCTTAGCCAGCATTGCAGAAAACCAGGTAAACCAGCTTTGGATAAGATCACCTGAGTTATCAGACTGAAAACTTGCTTTCATGTTTGTGACACACCATATCGCGACATGCTCACAATTATTGGTAAACAGGTTATACGATCTGCTTCCTCTTAAACTTCTCGCACGTGCTATTATCTCGTCAGGAGTAAACGGTAAATATTTGTACTCAATAAAGAACAAATATTCATCGTCAAGATTAATGTCCATACATTCTTCAATTACTTCAATTTTCACTGTGCCATCATCTGTCTTAGTTGTAAAGTTAACTACACAGATGCTTATCCTATGTGATTCACTGGAAAAAATTTCGGTTACAATTGCATGATGAAAGTATGGAAAGCCAAATTTGTCTTTTAAACGTCTCTTTAAGAAATCGTTCGTCTTAGTGCTGTAGGCATACCTGCCAAATTTAACATGACTGCCCTTTACCAGTAAATTTCCATCGGTTAATCTTGACACGTTTGCACAGTTAAAACAGTCTACTTTTGTTGTGAAATCGTTATGGTTATTGTTATTTCTGTCTTCCGTAGCAATGTCAACATATATTTCTTCCGACTGAAGAACAGTTCCTACATCAGAAACATTTAGAGATGATTCAGATTGAGTTTCAGTATGCTCAATAACATCTTCGATGCAGCTAGAACCTTCATCAATAAGAGTATTGAAGTTTATTTCTCCTGGACGAAATTGATTAGCATTGTTTCCTCTATTGTTAAAAGTGCTGACTATCTCATCTGCATATTTTGTACTATTTTTCTTCAGGAAATGCAGCAATGACTGTTTATCTTCAGATGTAGAATCATCATCACTGTAATTTCCATCGTTGCTACATTCAGAATATGTATGTTGGCGAACATTTGCTCTTACTTGTTGATACATGGTAAGCTATCTTTCCTAAAAATACATGAATAGGTTTAAACGTATTATCAAATGCTGACGAGAGAGAAAGTTTGATAACATGGATTAAAAAAAAATCAAAATATAGATACAAATTTTCAAGCATTTGATAGAAATGTTAGTTTGACGTTTGCTTTTGTTTTGCTTGTATATGAAATTATGTAAATAATAATTTTCAAAAGCACCAATCGTTCTTTCAAGATAACAGAGGCTGGCCACTTTTCAATATGCTTTCTATGTATTCAATTGAGGTTGATAATAGTTTGATGAAACCCAAGAGAGTTAAAAAAAATACGCAGAATTAAAATGATTTACTTACAATTTGTAAAAATGCAAACAAGAGGCAGAAGATACTAAAGTAACAGTCAAAAAATAAATCAATTTTACCATGCTCAAACACTAAAATAGAGGAAATGACTCACATTAGTTTACAAGTCACTACACTGAAAACTAAAGATTAATTAACATAAAAAAACAACTAAAATATTAGTGCTCGGGAATGGTAAACAGATCATGTTCCTCGAGTGGAATCCATTGTTTTGCTCATTGCAAGTACATTTTTATATAATCAGCCTTATTTTATGATATCACAATAGAAGAAAAAGAAGACGGGGTTGAAACTACGACGGTAGGAAGATATTCGTGGTCGTCTTTGACACAGATATTCCACCAGGGTCAGCTTAATTATGATAGCGTCCTTAAAACTTTCCGATGACTGAATGACTTAAACTATACCACTAGGAGCCCTTGGTTTAAATAATTCATTGTGAGCAGCAACCATCTATCAGGGAAATCGTGATCGGAAACGGAAGCTCTGAAATATCGCATCAAACGGAGACACTATATTGATGTGTAAGGACAATTATGTAATTTGGGAATGCAGTACAGTGAAGGAAGATCGACTGCTTTATCTTTGGTCAAATATAACATATGGACATAGAACGCATCCATGATTCGCCAGGATTTCCTCTTTGATAAATGTCAAAGGAGTATATGTAGAATTTTCAAGTGAATTTTCAATACCTAATTGCTTTATCAACTGTTTACATAATGTGATTTACAAACAACAACGATGTGATTGGGGGCTTTGTCTTGAGACAACACCATATTTTTAATGAGGCAGTGCAGGAGTTAATACGTAACATAAGTGTGCATAGATCCATTTTTTTTTTCGTTTAAATTCTGGTTTGTATCTAAGTTCCCTTTTTTCTATATTAAGCCAGTTACATGTCATTATCCTCTACTGAATCCAAAAGATTTTCAAAGAATACCCATACAATTTAGATATTATTAGAGTCCTTCACATTGTCTGTGAAAGTTTTAATAATAAATTGCATCTTGTTTCTTGTAGTCAATATACAGCGTATACAAAATAGTTGGGCTGTGTTTTGAATAATTAGCTCAATTTTTTCCTCAAAATTGTCAAAACATATAGGTAACAATGAACTAGATAAAGTTGCATGCGCTGCCATTTGTGAAGAGAATTTGACAGAGATAAATATAGCTGGCTGTATGTGAATAAACTCATCATAGAAACCAGGATTGAAATTTTGTTTTTACGCCAGACGCACGTTTCGTCTACAAAAGACTCAGAATGGTTGTTACTTGTATATCATTTACATATTTTCCCCCTAAAAACATTATGAGTAAAGTTTCATGAAGCGCACTTGTGTCCTCAAAAGTATATTATTAAGGTAAAGAACCACTAATTCGGGCCTGGTCAGAAAGTAGTGCATATTTTAAACAAAATAGTACCTACGCATAGATACAGATCAGAAGTACCTTTTTTTGTACTATCAAATTTCGGGGAACCAGTGTGCTCATATTGGCAATTAAAGGTATGTTGAACTTTTCAGCACAAGTCAGGATAAGGTATAGTTTCGACATGAAATGACTGACACTTTATTTGAACTTTAGACAAAGTAGCCAATAATGCTTGAAATTGCAGAATTTAACATAGAAAGCAATGGGGCTATGAATTAGTGGTTTTATTCCTATTACTGACAGGTATGTGAAATACCAATATTAGAAATCATACCCATTACAATGAAAATTGGTCACATTTGCTGTTAGTAATCATGTTACATTAATTTTTCTAATGTAACAATTATTTTTTCATGTCAAATTACATGCCTCAAATTGCTACAATAATGTTTTTCGGCCTTTTTTGGTCATTTAGCATGCACACAGTTAAGACTTTACCTGAAGTTTTAATTTTTACATTATCTTAGACTGAAACAAGTGAAACATGTATATTATGACTGGTTTTGCTGAGTGTAAATTCTGATTGCTATTAGAAGTGTCTCGGTATTTGTACATCCAACACTCCTGTATTTAGTTATAACGTTTCATGTGTAATTCTGCTTGGATGTTGTTTTATGTCGTATAGGTTGTGGTTTTAATTCTATTTTTATTTTCTATATGTATGTAAAAAAGTAAAAATATTAATCACCTAGTTCATTTTTGATGATTTTTAGTTAACAGCAACTATATGCACAGAATTTTTTTTTGTTTTTACACAGTTTGATTTAGAAGAAAAACCGACATGGTTATAAAATACAAATAATAACACAATTCTTTATTAATATTCTGGTAATGGTTAGAAAATATATCGAATAACACCATTACAAAAATTAATCCCAATTCAATATTCTTTTTTTATAAATTTACCTGTGACGTCACTTTTTGTGGCGTTGATACATTCCTGTGAAGCACAGTTCATTAATCTATTGTGCTGTATTTGTGTTCTGTCGTAAATCAATTTTATGTGTTTGTTGTTATTTTGTGGTTTACATGTTGAAATGTACTATTATATTATTTATTTATGTATTTCTCTGTCCTGAATGTTCTTGCATTTATTTGTACTGTATTCTTTTCACGTACATGTAATGTTGTCATTTTAGCGGTATTTTTAACATTGCCATATAAGCGGGAGGTTTGGCTAGCCATAAAAGCAGGTTCAACCCACCATTTTGTCTTAAAATTACCGTACAAGTCAGGAATAAGGCAGTTGTTATCACACAGTCCGTTTCTATGTATGTTGGCGTTTGTTTTTGTAACAGTTCTGTGTTTCTGCTGTTCCGTTTTGTTTCCTCTTATATAGTTGATGTGATTCCCTCAGTTTTGGTTTGTGACCCAGATTTGTTTCAGTTAAATCGATTTATAACTATTGAACAGCGGTATACTACTATTGATTTTATTTATAGTATAAATATAGCTTTTGGTCAAATTATCTAGTGATTTTTCATGTTTTATTGGGTTTCTTAGTGTATTATTTATTTCAAAGGAAATTGGTGTATACTTATTTAGGAATTCCAAAATCTCACTTTAAAATTAAACTGATAACCAGTTTAGCAAGTTGTCTAGCTTGAAGATACATAATTTGCTCTTGTTGATCCATGTTTTTACATAAAAGTATGGTTTTTACCAAATCACTCTCCTTTTTCAAAATGTAGAAAAATGGGGGAAAAATTATCAATTATATTTTATGTTTGGACCACTATATTTATATTCAATGAACAATCTCTGATAAATATAAGACATATAGGTAAGAAAATTGTTATTTGAGTAGATATTAACAAATAAGAACTGGTAAAATTGAAAAAGTCTCATATTGGTCACTTTTGCTATCCATATGGAGTTTTCTTTGTATAACGCATATGTAATACCAGTCTAATTTGAGCTTGAATTCAGTGATATATTGTTTCGACAAAGCTTTATGTGTTTGTCTATGCTATAAATAGATCATAGAAGAAAAATGTAAAGCAGAAGTCAATATAACAAGTTTGGTGCTGTTAAAGGTAAAGAATAACTAATTCGGCCCCGGTCAGAAAGAACATACAAGAAAGTAGTACATATTTTAAACAAACTAGTTCCTACACATGGCTGTATCTTTGTCAATAGGTAAAATATTTGGGTAGTTTTTGGTATCAAACGAAAGCTTGGGGACTTGGAATCACTGTAGAACCCTTGTTGAAAGTTTCTTTTGAATAATAAAAAAGTATATAAAATTATAATAGGAGGGCATAATTATTTGCACTGTTGTTCAGATAGTAAGTACCTGTTTTTGTACTATCAAACTTCCGGGAGCAGTATGCTCTTATATGCAATTAAAGGTCTGTTGCATTTTTCAGCACAAGTCAGGATAAGGTATAGTTTCGATATGAAATGACTAACACTTTATTTGAACTTTAGACAAAGTAGCCATTAATGCTTGAAATTGCAGAATTTATCATAGAAATCGATGGGGCTATGCATTAGTAGTTTTATTCCTTAAGGACCGGAGATTTTTAAACATTTAATCAAAATTTAAGTACACTCTCTGTGAAATCTCCAAGTATGGTAAAAAAAAAACCAAAAATCACAACGAAAAGCCATAGCACCTTTATTTATCAAAGTGAGGTAAAATCTCAAATACATACTGCGCTCTTATTAGGCAACAGTAGGTTTTAATAAATAGTTTATTTAAAGCGCATTTACGAAAATATTTGGTAACTATAAAATCTTGCGGTCGGATAAGAATTATCAACAAGTTAAAATTGCATCAAGATATATATAACACATTATGTTTGAAGCTGGTAGCTATGTAACTTTAAAATTTATAGATGTGTTCATTAGTCAAATAAACCATCATTTACTTAATTATATATACGCTGTTAAACCAAAACAACCAAATCAAATATATATTTTTTCGATTATTATTCGATACATGTTAATAATAAAAAGAACTTACAAGGTAAATAGTTTCCTTCAACTGCGCGGCAGGAAGATGTGATGTAATATCACAGGATGCAGCTGGTTAATTGTTTTGACTACTGAAATGTCAACTCTAAAAATACTTATTGGAATTTCCCTGTAATTTCCAGAAAACAATGTTTTCATAATGGCCATTTGAATCAATTAAACTTGATTATTAATGTGGTTAAAAAGAAATAAGACTAGAATGATTAATTTTCACCACACCAAAAATTAATGTATAAAGTTTACATATTGTGTTAGTTTTATCCCAATCCCTATTTCAAATAATTATTTCCGAAATATTGAACATTTTCTAAACAAAGATACCAAACATTAAATGAATATGTGATGAAAAAAATCATAACAGCTTAGATAAACTAAACCCGTACTTTGTTATACTTACATAACGATTTACCTTGGTATTGTTTGTCATTGACTATCCATTATAATAATTGAACACAAACACATTCGGTCAGTGGCCTTCCATAGATGTAAATAATCACTTGCTACATATATCCACCAGTAAAATACAAGTTTCTTCCCGTAATTTTAAGATAATTTGTTTTAAATATTCTGTTTATAACACACACCCAACAGTTTAATTTGAAATATAAAGAAATTTTCAGAACAAACATCATTTACCGATGAAAAATAAATCTTTTTGATTTTTCATAGCTCTGGACGCATGCTGTTTTATGTTTGAATCATGCTTTCTGTAAAGGAGAAGTCGGTACCTGTGTTTCCGATCCTTTTTGTCTCTATGAGCAAAGAAAATTATTGTCATAACCTAAAATATGCTATTCGTCGAAATATCATTTTTGTATATTACAGATTGGGTCGTTTTCGTACAAATCTTGTTTTTACCTCAATATAATGTATTTTATTGTTTACCTTATATTTCGTGTCTCATTGACGCTTACGACACATCCCTATCTATTCACATTAAAAACATTACGAGATGGCATCATATACTCGTATACGTGCATATAACAAAAGTAAACGGAAACAAAAGTACATGGTCTATCAATTCCATATCCTTTCCTTCTATAACACAAAACAACTGTGCATATATGAAAAACTAGTTGCTTTTCAACAATGCATCTTCTACAACTGTTGAAATTAGACATCTAGAGGAGAGTGTTAAAGGTATGGAGGTTTATTTAATTTCTAAACGCAGAACAAGTTAGTTACAAATTGCTTTGTTTAAATTTTTGAACCTGATAGCGGAATCTTAATTGAAAAGAAGACAGAAGAAGGCAAACGAATTGGTGCTCACATTTCAGACAAGATGAACATTTATTTTGTTATATCAATGTAGAAAGTAATGTATTCGTACCTACGCATACGTACAATATTTATTGTAAAATTACTGTAACCGAACTGCAATACATTATCTTTAATTATTCTATACAGTTTGGCTGTTTTTTTTTCAAAATATATAGTATACAAAATGAAAACAGTAAGTATCAAAAATATCTTACTTGAAAATCTTCAGTTCTGACTACTTCTTATTCTATTTATAGAAACCAAAAATTTCCGACTTTCAGAAAAACCATATAATTATCATAAGCTCCGCAGGCAGAATGACAGACATACGTGGAAGCATTATGATTGATAGAATGCACATTTTTTTTCTTTTTTTTTCTTAATACATGTAATAATGATGATCGGTTTCACTAATTGTATATTGAATGGCAAACATTATTACAGTGCTTATAATGATAGACATAAATTACAAAATGGACTACCTTATTGTGATTTACTAGTAAAAAATGTTACTGTTATGTGTTGATGAATACATACAAGATATTTTAATACTGAATTAGGAGAAAACAATAAGGGATATGCAGTCCTGAACAGGGATATTAAACTTCGCTTGCTCAAATATCTAGCCAGGATACTGCTTCTTGTAAACATTTTACAACTTTACAAATTAATAGTCCCTAACTGCGAGCATTCTTTGATACTGGACTGTTGTTTTGTTTGCTTTGTTTGTTTTTAATTGTGAACTATATTGTCACATGCATTATGGATTCAAATGTGTACTGGTCAGTTGAAAATATTTAACGTCCTACACAGCAGCTTAATGGTAGAAGTCGGACGGTAGTTTTGTACTGATTTTTATTGTCGTTATTCCACTGATTGATATCAAAAGTGATGTTTGAAATATAAAAAAAAACTAGTTTTACCCGACATGAATAGATGTGAAGAGGACTTAGATTATTTTTAAATTGTTTTTGTCATTAAGATTTTGCATTGATGGCATATCTTTGAGGGTCTCCGTTACGAAAGTATTGTAGATATCCATAGAAAATTTTCAATATTGAAAATGTCACTTGTTTAGTTTGTATGTGTAAAACTTTCTTAAAATCATTAACCCAAAAGAAGTAAATTTGTTTTAAAAAGAGAAAACTTAATTCATTTTCTCATTTTTGGCTGATGTATTTCTTAGATATTGTAAAACAGTTAAAATGTAGGTTTGAATTTTGAAGATATGAGTGACCTTTAGAATATTCAATCAAAATTATGTTCAAAACATGCCCAACTCTAAAAACAAACATGAAGCTATAATACTATGAATTTAATAATAGATTGGAAAAATAATTTAGTTTGAAATGGCCCGATGCGAAAGCAATTAAGTGTAATAAGTCAACTTATGTAAACAGCAAAACACATGGTCTTGAAATGTTTACAGGCATTTTCTTGATGACAAAATATATGTGCAGGTAAAACAAATCTATACGCAGAATACCTTCATCGTTTAAAAGTATACCAGTTTCCTCCTTCTGGGACTATGGAAAAGCTAAGCATAGTAAGGAACATGTTCCTTAACCCGATAGATATAGGTATTTTATATGCCAAAGTCCATGAGATTCAAGTTTGCTGCCACAGATTCAAGCATATGTAAAATATACTAATAACTGTTAACTAACTGTTAATGACGTCTTTACACTAAATCCATTGGATGTTTGATGTGAACTGATTGATTTATTAGTCTTAGATACATGATTTCTTTTTATTATTTTTTATTGGCTTTGAACTAGCTGACAGTAACTGCGAGTACTCTCAGATCTTTACTTTGTGTCTTTTTTGTTGTTAGGGATGTATAAATACCCTGCCACGTCCGGTCTGTGTTAGATGTTTTTCTGCTTTGTATCGATCTGATGAGTTAAGCTATTTTCAACTGGTTTTTATAGTTTGTTCTTATGTTGTGCTGTAACACCACTGTCCCAGGTTAGGGGAGGGTTGAGCGCTCACAAATATGTTTAGCTCCGCCACATTCTTTATGAGCCTGTAATTCAGTGGTTGTCGTTAGTTCATGTCAGTCATATTTGTTTTTGTAAATTGTTTTGTTATAAATTAGGCCGTTAGTTTTCGCAATTGAATCGTTTCATATTTTTTTATGTCGGGGCCTTTTATAGCCGACTATACATATTTTTCTCAATATAGAAGGCCGTACGGTTGCCTATAGTTGCTTACATCCACTTTTAAACTTACTCATTGGCAATCATACCACATCTTCTTATTTTTATAATAAAACTATTTGCTTTTATCTAGAAAATACTTTGTTACTTAGCGGTCAAAATTACTGTTGTGGCAAGACCTTTGTTTCATTGATAAAAGCATCCCTGTACGGCAGTCCTATTTCGATAAAAAAAATACATAAATTCTTAGCAAATTCGTGACTGGATCGTTCAGGCTTTTATAGAATTTATTTGTATAACTGGACAAATATATAATCAGTTTTATATATTCAATGATTTCATTATAACTGTGAGTTCGACGAGCAAAAAGGAATATCAATCATCTTGATTTAAATAGTATTTTATTTTAAAGTATCTTTATTTGATGAAGGCAACAGTAGTTTACCTATGTTCAAATCTGGTAATTCGATTGAGAAGACACATAAAAGTAACACAAAAATATATGAGGGAATCGCACGAACTCCTAAATAAGCGTGACCGGGTGCGGTGCATGAACAGTGTAAAGGTCTCATGCTATGAAAGCTTCACTCGTCAAGGAATCTACACTCAGTCAAAATGTCACAATGAGGAATAGATCAACATCGGTAGAATTACAGAGCAGACGACTATTCTTGTATCTTATAATCTAAGACCGCGGAAAACATGTCTCTCATGTGAGTTGAGACACAGACATCTCGTATCGGTCAATTAATTCAAGAAAGTCGCCGTAAAAATTATGTAGTGTCGATATCAATCGTTCTTCCTCATAGTCTTATTGGATGAGTTTTTGTGTAAGTGGTTTTTTTATACTAAAAACAGGGTTGTGTTCTTACTTTGAGGTTGTACTAAAATTTTGTCATTATTTTAAATGTGTAACAGAATTTAAAATAGCGCAAAATTAAATAAAAAATACGGAGATAACTTTTTAAGCCATCTACTGTCTATAATATACACGAATTGATTCATTTTTGTCAAAGTGTCCTTTGATAGAAATTTTAAAAAATCCAAATATATTCCATATGGTGTCATGAATACTTTTAAATACACCGAAAGCGTTGAATAACATTTAAATGCATCTAAAAGTGACAAAAACTTTAATGTGCATAATTCCGTGTCTAATATAAGGATTCTAATAAATTTCATGAATTTTTACTGATTTTCTCCATGAAATACTCACATTCGGAGGAAACTAATCATATCTCCTTGATCAACGTTTCATTTGTTTTAGGGGATACTCGATGGACTTATCAGTTAATCCTGCAGACGTGAGTGCTACCAACATATTGGTATTGAATAAACCTCAAGTATAACAAAGTTGCATTTAAACGCTTTCAGATTTTAAAACTTTCACCAGGAGCACTCAATAAGAACATTTGAAATAAATAATATCTAGGTCTTTTGTGTTCATTCCTAATCGTATTTTTTATAAAAACATTTTGTATTATTTGCTTTATATTTCGTTGTTTTTGTTTTTAAATTTTGTTCTTAATGTTCACGAAATTATTGATCAAAAATTATTCTAAAAACCACTTTCGTGTTTATTTCGAACAAATTCGATCATGTAGTAGAGTTAGAGAATTTGCTAGCAATTATGAT